CCCCAACCCGCGCTCTTCCTCTTTCCAGGAAGGTCCTGCCACCGTCCTCACTGCCGTCAAGAAGAAGGTCAAGAACGTCGGCATCTTCCTCAAGGTGACACCGTGAGGGGGTGGGGTGGGGAAAAATGAGGTGAAACCCCTTGATTTTGGGCAAAAGCCCTCAAATTTTTTTATAAAACCCCCAATTTTGGTCTTTTTTATCTGAAAAAAAAAAAAAGAACGAAGACGAAGAAGAAGAGGAAGAGGAGAAGGATGAAGCTGAAGATCTCCTTGGTCGCAGCTCCCGGGCAGCTCTGTTGACGGAAAGGACGCGGGTAGGTCATCTCTCCCTCGCCCCTTCTTTTTTTTTGGGGGGGGAAGGATATGACATCACCTCTGCCCCGCCCCTTCAGAATGAATTGACGGCAGAGGAGAAACGCCGAGCTCACCAGAAAGAGTTGGCGGCTCAACTCAACGAAGAAGCGCGTCGGCGGTTGACGGAGCAGAAGGGCGAGCAGCAGATCCAAAAGTAACCCAAAATGGCGGGAGGAGGGGGGTGGAGGTTTGATTACTTGGTTGGAGGGGCTCCCTCTGACGTCACCGCCATGTCATCGTAGGGCTCGTAAGTCCAACATCTCCTACAAAAACCCAGCGTTGATGCCGAAGGAGCCCCACATCCGCGAGATGAAGATCTACATCGACAAGAAGTACGAGACCGTCATCATGCCCGTCTTTGGCATTGCCACGCCCTTCCACATCGCCACCATCAAGGTGAGGGGACACACCCTCGTTTTCTAGGACACGCCCGAAATTTCCTTGGGGGAACCTGGTTTTGGGGGAGAGAGGGGGTGGGGATGGGTGGGACAAACCTGGGGGAGAGGTTCCAGGTGGGTGTGGAGATTGAGGGGCTTTTGGGGTGCAGCTTGAGCCCCACCTTCAAGCCCAGGTGGTTTTGGGGTTCCACCTTCAAGCCAAGGTGGGTTTGGGGTTCCACCTTCTCCCCATCTTCAAGCCAATGTGGTTTTGGGGTTCTGTCTTCAAGCCAAGGTGGTTTTGGGGTTCCACTTTCAAGTTAAGGTGGTTTTGGGGTTCAGCCTTCTCCCCATCTTCAACCCAAGGTGGTTTTGGGGTTCCACCTTCAAGCCCAGGTGGTTTTGGGGTTAAACCTTCAACCCAAGGTGATTTTGGGGTTCCACCTTAAAGTTAGATGGTTTTGGGGTTCCACGTTCTCCCCACCTTCAACCTAAGGTGGTTTGGGGGTTCTGCCTTCCACCCCAGGTGATTTTGGAGTTCCACCACTCTTCTGTGCACCCCCAACCCACCACCTCCCCAACTTTTCCTCTAAAACTTTCTCTCCATTTTGTTTTTTTTTGGGGGGTTCAACCCCCCCAACCTCTTCATTTTTGGGGTGACCCCCCCCCCATTATTTTTTGACCTTCTAGAACATCAGCATGTCGGTGGAAGGAGACTACACCTACTTACGCATCAACTTCTACTGCCCGGGTAGCGCTTTAGGACGTAACGAGGGCAACATCTTCCCCAATCCCGAGGCCACCTTCGTCAAGGAGATGTGAGGCCACCAGCGGGGTTGGGTGAGATTTGAAAAGGGGGGCGGGACACAATTTTATGATGTTCTATGAGGTCACCTCAACTTTTGGATCCTACCAGCACCTATCGCGCGTCCAACATGAAGACGCCAGGTGAACAAACGGTACCGGCCCTCAACCTTCAAAATGCTTTTCGCATCATCAAGGAGGTCCAAAAACGTTACAAAACCCGGGAAGCTGAGGAGAAGGAGAAGGAGGTGAGGACCAAGATGAGGTGGGAGCTTGTGAAGAAGTTGAGGACCTCACCCTCCAAAAAAACCCCCATCTCGGTGTCTTCTCCAGGGCATCGTCAAACAAGATTCGTTGGTCATCAACCTCAACCGTAGCAACCCCAAGTTGAAGGACCTCTACATCCGTCCCAACATTGCCCAGAAGAGGATGCAAGGTTCTTTGGAGGCCCACGTCAATGGTATGGACCTGAGGTGGGATGGGTGGGACCTTCTGGAAGGGTTTTTTTGGGGTGGGGGTGGACCTTAAATTGTCCCCACCCCAGGTTTCCGCTTCACCTCGGTGCGCGGTGACAAAGTGGACATCCTCTACAACAACATCAAACACGCCGTCTTCCAGCCTTGCGATGGCGAGATGATCATCGTGCTCCACTTCCATCTCAAGGTCTTCTTCTGGTGGTTGGAGAATTTGGGGAGCGGGGGGTGACAGGGAGGGGAGGAGGGCCTTGGTGATGACATCGTTTGTTCGTGTTGACCTCAGAACGCCATCATGTTTGGGAAGAAACGTCACACGGATGTCCAGTTCTACACGGAAGTCGGAGAGATCACCACCGATTTGGGCAAACACCAACACATGCACGACCGCGATGACCTCTACGCCGAGCAGGTTGGTCGAAGGTCCTCCTTCTTTGATGATGTCATCAGAAGAAGGAAGTGACCTCATGTATCTCCTCCCTCCACCCTAAAAAAAGATGGAACGGGAGATGCGTCACAAGTTGAAGACGGCTTTCAAGAACTTCATTGAGAAGGTGGAAGCACTCACCAAGGAGGAGTTGGAGTTTGAGGTGCCCTTCCGGGAGTTGGGGTGAGTGGACACCAAGGCCACCGGGGGTGGGGGGGTCACCATCATCTTGGGGTCTCCTCATTGCCTTTTGGGGTCTTCTCATCTTTTTTGGGGGTCTCATCTGTTTTTGGGGTCTTCTGATGGGTTCTGGTGACTCCTCATGGTTTTTGGGGAGTCTACTTAGGGGTTTTGGGAGTCTCTCCATCCATTTTTGGGGTCTCCTCCTTGGTTTTTGGCATCTCCTCATGGTTTTTTGGGGTCTTCTCATGGGTTTTGCAGTCTCTTTCTCCATTTTTGGGCGTCTCCTCATGGGTTATTGGGGTTGCCTCATGGATTTTGGGGTCTCTCTTCATGTCTGAAGTCTCCTCATGTTGTTTTGGGGATCTTCTCATGGTTTTGGGGATCTCTTTCTCCTTTTTTGAGGTCTCCTCATGTTCTTTTGGTGTCTCCTCATGGTTTTTTGGGGTCTTCTCATGGGTTTTGGGTTCTCTTTCTCCATTTTTGGGGTCTCCTCATGATTTTTGGCCATGTCCAACCCCTCTTTCGGCAGGTTCAACGGCGCCCCGTACCGCAGCACCTGCCTTCTCCAACCCACCAGCAGCGCCTTGGTCAACTGCACCGAGTGGGTAAGTTGACGTGAGGTGGGAATTGGAGTGGGTTGGTTTTTTTTTTTTGACATCATCACAACTTTGGGGGGCTCACCCCACTGATGTCACCCTTCAACCCCACCCCTCAGCCCCCCTTCGTGGTGACCTTGGACGAGGTGGAGCTGATTCATTTTGAGAGGGTCCAGTTCCACCTGAAGAACTTCGACATGGTCATCGTCTACAAGGACTACAGCAAGAAGGTCACCATGATCAACGCCATCCCCGTCGCCTCCCTTGACCCAATCAAAGAATGGCTCAAGTAGGCTCCGCCCCTCGCCTCCTATTGGCCACGCCCTACCCCTACCCGCTCACCTTTCTCTTCCTCTTCCAGCTCTTGCGACCTCAAGTACACGGAGGGCGTCCAGTCCCTCAACTGGACCAAGATCATGAAGACCATCGTGGATGACCCTGAGGGCTTCTTCGAGCAGGGGGGTTGGTCCTTCCTGGAGCCTGAGGGCGAGGTACCATGTTTAGGTGGTGGCCATGCCCCCTTGGTGACCCCAACCCCCCCTTTTGATAGCCCTGCCTCCAAGTTCTCCAGATTGGCCCCACCCTTGATGTCCCCACCCTTGGTGTCCCCATCCCAGGTTCTCCAGGTTGTCCCCACCCCTCAATGTCCCCCCCACCTCGGTGTCCCCACCACTTTCTTGTCCCCAGGGCAGCGACGCAGAGGTGGGCGAATCTGAGTCGGAGATGGAGGATGAGACCTTCAACCCTTCGGAGGAGGACTACGAGGAAGAGGAGGAGGACAGTGATGAAGATTACTCCTCCGAGGCCGAAGAGTCAGGTAACAGCGGTGGGGTCGCCTGACCCCAAGGAGGGTGTGGCATAGCTCCAAGGAGGGTGGCCTGTCCCTCAAGAGACCACCATGTCCCCATGGAGTCCCACCAAAACCCGTTGGAGATCCCAACCACCTCCCCTTGGAGGCCACCATGTCCCCATGGAGTCCCACCAAAACCCGTTGGAGATCCCAACCACGTCCCCCTGGAGGCCACCACGTCCCTGTGGAGGCCACCGGGTCCCCATGGAGTCCCACCAGAACCCCTTGGAGATCCCAACCACCGTCTCCTTCTAGAATATTCCAAGGAGTCCCTGGGCAGCGAGGAAGAGAGCGGCAAAGACTGGGACGAACTGGAAGAAGAAGCCCGAAAAGGTGAGTCCAAGGGGTTGGAAGTGGGGGGGAGAACCCCCCAAAAATCTAGGGGACCTCCCTGCCCCCCCCAATCCCTTCTCCCCCCCCCCCGCAGCTGACCGGGAGAGCCAATATGAGGAGGAGGAGGAGCATGGGCGCAGCCGGAAGAGGAAGGCTCCTGCTGGGCGGGGCGCCCACCCCCGCAACCCAGGACCCCCCAAAAAGAAGAGGAAGTAGGGGAACCCCCTCCCCTGCCCCTCCTTGAAAAATCTGGGGGGGGCCTTGGCAAAAAGTTGGGGTCCTCCTGCAAAATTTGGGGGTTTTCTTGTAAAATTTGGGGGGTTCTCAGAATTTGGGGGGGTATCAAAATTTGGGGAGTTCTTGTCAAAATTTGGAGGGTTCTCCTTAAAATTTGGAGGGTTCTTCTCAAAATTTGGGGAATTCTCCTCAAAATTCTTCTCAAAATTTGGGGACTTCTCCTCAAAATTTGGAGGCTTATTATCAAAATTTGGGGGTCTTCTCAAAATTTGGGGGATTCCCCTCCAAATATGGGAGGTTCCCCTCCAAATTTAGGAAGTTGTTCTCAAAATTTGGACGGTTCTCCTCAAAATTTGGAGTTCTCATCAAATTTGGGGTTCTTTCAAAAATTTGGAGAATTCTCCTCTAAATTTGAGGGGTTTTCATCAAAATTGGGAGGGTTCCCCTCAAAATTTGGGCAGTTCTTAAAATTTGGGGAGGTTGTTCTCAAACTTTAGAGGGCTTCCTCTCAAAATTTGGAGGGTTCTTCTCAGAATTTGGGGTTCTCCAAAACATGAGGATTCTCAAAATTTTGGGGGCCCCCTTTTAAAAATTTTGGAAAGGTATCCCCCCAAATTTGGAGGTTTGCCTCAAAATTTGGAGAGTCTTCTCAGGTTTGAGGTTACTCCTACAAATTTGGTTTTCTGACCCCTCAAAATTTGAGGTTCTTCCTCAAAATTCAGAGGTCCCCCCTAAAAATTCGAGGTTCTCCAAAATTTGGGGGTCTCCCCTAAAAATTTGGGTGTTTCCTCCCCCATAATTCAGGGGTTATGTCCATAATTTGAGGGATTCTCCTCAAAGTTTTGGGGTTTCTCCTCACATTTTGGGGATCTCTTCAAAATTTTGAGCTTTCTCCTCACATTTTGGGGGTCTCCTCAAAAATTCTGGCATCCCACCTAAAAATTTGGGGTTTCTGTCCCAAAATTGAGGGTTCTCTTCAAACTTTGGATGTCCTCTGCTAAAAATTTTGGGATTCTCAAAATATTGAGGTTCCCTAAAAATTTGGAACTTCCCGGCCCCCCCCCC